GCAGACGGCAAATAAATACTTTGCAGTCTGTAATACAAAACACAGACGGCAAAAGTATTTTGCCGTCAGTTATTCTTTGCCGTCTGTTGACGACGGCAAACCCTTTCTTTGCCGTCAACCCGACAAAATGCTGACGGCAAAGACGCCCTCTAACAGCAAATTAACTGTTTCCCGTAGTGCGAGGGTCGTATCGTCCCTCTAAAGGGTACTTGTTGTCAATCAGATCATGCTTCTACGAGTTTCATTGTTCAGCCTTACTCCATTTTCTTCTCTTTTTGAACTCCATTGTTTTTCTCCTTGGTTCCTCAAAGTTTGGAGTGTCCTTAGTCGCTTTCTCTGGCTCTTCAAGCTCGGCGCGTGTAACCATGCTTCTTGCCCTTATAAAAGAATCAAATGAGAGAGTTTTAAGAAATCATTGATCCGGTCAAAATCGGGTGACCCAGTTCTAATTGAAGACCTTAATTGAATGTGGGCTCTTTAAAATTAAAAAGCATAGTGTTATGGAGAATTAGACCAAACAAGCATAGTGTTATGAAGTATGGTACTCCCTCCATTTTTATTTACTCTGCATATTAGAGTTGACTGAAGTCAAACTTCGTAAAGTTTGACCAAGTTTATAAAAAACAATATAGATATTTATCATAATAAATCTATATGATGTGAAAGTACATTCAATAATAAATCCAATGTTGTTGATTTCTTATTGTATATCTTAATATTTTTGTTTATAAACTTGGTCAAAGTTTGTAAAGCTTGACTTTGACCAAAGCTAATATGCAAACTAAATAAAAACGGAGGGAGTATAAAGCATTTAGAGTTGAATTCATGTTGAAAAGAAATTTTAAATGATAGTCTAGTTTTTAAGTACAAAACTGAAAGTTGAATTTTGAGTATTTGCTAAAACGGAGGAGGCATGATTCTGGTTAGATTCAGACCCTCGGCATGCACATGTGCTTTACTCCCTCCGTCTAGGTGTATAAGTCATCTTAGGATGTGCATCGCGACCAAGGCGGAGGGAAAAACGAGAGACTTTAATGCTTTTTTCTAGTTAATAGCATTGCATGCAGCGAATTAACCACTGCATGTCATGTTTGATAGTTTCAAGTCATTGAAAGCATGCACAACCCACATCTCTTATTGGTTGATATGTCACAAAACAAGAAAAGAGGAGAGAGTTAATGTACCGTGCCTAAGTGTTTTAGGATTATTTAGTTTTTATAAGGTGACTTACACACCTAGACGGAGGGAGTAGCAAAACCGTAAAAGAAACAAAAAAGAATGGCGTATAGCGTTGTGGCTGTTGCAAGTCAACTCTCTCCCGGCTCGTCTTCCCCGGCCGCCACCATCCTCACCTCCCCCTCCAGATTCGGCTGCGCCAAGATCTCTCGATGGCGGGGGTCAGCGCGGGGACGGGGGCGATGAGCTCCCTCCTCGGCAAGCTCTCCGCCTTGCTCACCGACGAGTACAAGCTTCTCAAGGGCATCCGCAAGGAGATCCAGTTCCTGGAGCGCGAGCTTGGCAGGATGCGAGCCTATCTGCACATACTGGCGGACATGGACAAGCTCGACAACCTGACCAAGAAGCGGAGAGACAGCTTGCGCGACCTCAGCTATGAGATGGAGGACTGCATCGACCGTTTCATGGACCGGCTTGGCACCGGCGACGCCAGGCGAGGGTTCATGAGGACGACCGCGCGCCGGCTCAGGACGATTTGGGCGCGCCATGACATCGCGACCCTCATCAGGGACCTCAAAGCTCGGGTCTTGCAGGAGACCGAGCTGCATGACAGGTACAGTACAATCTTTCGTTATCTCTGCAAGACGTTCAGACCAATAAGTTATTTTTTCTGCTTGTTTGTGGAAAATGACAGGTACAAGCTTGATGAAGGTTATTACAGTGCAACGAGGCCAGTTCAAATAGATCCCCGGATGACCGTGCTCCACGAGGAGGTCAAGGGCTTGGTGGCCATGGACGCCCCAGTGAAGCATATTTCTGCATTGCTGATGGATCAGAGTATGGAGCTGAAAGTGGTACCGATTGTCGGGCCTGGAGGCTTGAGGAAGTCGACCCTTGCAATGGAGGTCTATCGCAAGATTGGGAGGGACTTCCGTTGCCGAGCTTCCGTGTCAGTGTCACGCGCTCTTGATCTGGAGAAGTTCCTCAAGGATATCTTGTCTCAAATTGATGAGTCTAGAGAATGTTAGCCAGAGGGTTCAGACATACAGCAACTTATCCGTAAAACCACACAATTCTTGACCGGAAAGAGGTACTCGTGCATTGTTTTGTTTTTTCCATACTTAACACTAATTATTTCTTATGCTTAGGCCGGAAAGAATTGATTTATTTGAATGTCTAGCTTAATTATTTCCTATACTTAGACTTGGAAAATTTAATTTATTTTAAATGGCTAGCTTTGACCGGGGAATATTCAGTATGTTTAACCTTAACTATTTCCAATAGTTTGATTGGTGCCAAAAGAAATTACTGAAACATTAAGTAGGAAACACTTGCGTATTTGGTTGGATATATCAAAATATTTGCTGGTGCAAGTAGTGGTAGGAAAATGCTTAACAATGCACAATGTTCAATGTAGGTACTTCATTGTTATTGATGACATATGGAAAGAACACGATTGGAAATTGGTCAAGCCAGCATTTCCCGAGAATAATAATGGTAGCAGAATAATTGCTACTACACGCATCACTGGTTTAGATAATTTGTGCTGTTCCAGGTCCGGTGGTCTACCCTACCAAATGGCACCTCTAGATGATGTTGGTTCTCGAAGATTGTTCTTTAAGAGAATTTTCAGCTCAGATGATCCCTGTCCCGCAGAACTGGAAGAAGTTTCTACTACGATCTTAAAAAAATGCGGTGGTCTACCATTGGCTATAATTACATTGGCAAGTTTGCTTGTCAACAAGACACATAACAACGATGAATGGGAGAGACTACAAGAGTCCATTGGTACTGGTTCTTCGCTTGATAATAATGAGACCTTCAAAGGGATGAGACACATATTGTTACTTAGTTATTTGGATCTTCCGCGCCACCTGAAGACTTGTTTATTATACTTGTGTATATATCCAGAGGACTATGAAATTGAATGTGAAGAATTGAAATGGAAATGGATGGCCGAAGGATTCATTGCTACGTAATGGGGACGTTTGGATCAAGTAGCGGAGAATTGTTTGAATGAACTTGTTAATAGGAATATGATTCAGCCAGTTCATGTTGGGTATGATGGTTCCGTGAAACGTTGTCGGGTCCATGATACGGTGCTTGATCTCGTCATATCTTTATCTGATGAAGAGAACTTTGCTACCGTTTTAAATGGACGTATTTGCAATTCATTTTCAAGCAAGATTCATCGTCTGTCAATGCAATCTAGTGCCAAAGAGCAGGGTGAGGCGGTCCATGCAATCACAGAAACCAAGTCACATGTTCGCTCACTGACTATGTTTGGGCAAGTTAAGCAGATATGCCACCTCGTGGACTTTCATGCTTTGCGGGTGTTGGATCTCGTACGATGTGAATGGTTGGAAAACAAGCATGTAAAAAATATAGAAAGTTCATGCCAGCTTAGGTATTTGCAACTTAGCAGTTTTAAAATCACAGAGCTTCCTGTGGAAATCGGAAAGCTGCAGCACTTAGAGACTCTTGATATGAGAGGATGTTATTATCTTCCAAGACTGCCATCAACTGTTATGCAATTGCAAAAATTGGTGCGCCTACTTGTGAGCCGTCGAACAGAGTTGCCTGCAAGTGAGTTTGGGAGTATGCAAGCCTTGCAGGAGTTGGAGAAGTTAAATATCTGGAACAATGACAAGATTGCAAATACATGAAATGTACGATATAAAAGTTATACCCGGAGCCCTTCGGGTTCGTGGGCCGCACGGGGGGCTCGATCTGCTGGTCCACCAATGGTCAATGCAACAATGTGGCGCTCCACCTCAACGAGAGCACCGGCGAGTTCTCCTACTTGAGGCTGCCCAGCCAAGCCGACACCAACAAGAATCCATTGTATAACTGCAGGGGGAACCTCTGGGCCATTGGCACTATGCACCTCGTCCGGATAGTTGGGAATGATCTCGAGGTACTCCGATATGCCCATAGTAGATCGGATGGATCCAACCTAAAGACACGCGAACATAGACGAACGACGACTAGATCCGAGCAAATCCCCAAAGATAGACCCATCGGAGACATACCTCCACATGCTCACCAACAAGGCTAGACGCACTACCGGGGCGGGGGCTAGGAGGAGAGAACCTTATTCTATTTTTAGGGAGCCACCGCCGTCTCATCTTACTGCGTAGCACACAAACCCTAACAAAACTCAAAAAAAAACGTCAAAAAATGGAGCCCTCCCGTCGGCAAGGGTCGGGATACACCGCGCCCCCATGGCTCTAAGGCAACCGGAGACGAGGCCAGCCGACAAGGGCGCCGGTAGGAGAGGGAGGAAGCCTAACTTTTCTTGGGACTTTTCATGTTTATAAGTGCATTTAATGCCATACCAAGTATGAATGGCAGCACTAATCATGTACTCCCTCTCTCTCATTTTACAAGCTGTGCGCATATCCCTAGGTCGTCAATTTGATCAACCTAATACAAGTAATATATTACAAAAAATATACCAATATAAACTTTAGATGTTCTATTTTCAAAAGACATAATTTTTGTGTTATATAGTTTATATTAGGGTGATCAAATTGGCAACCTAGGTATACGCGTAGGACTTGTAAACTGAGACAGAGGGAGTAATCAACATGCAATTAATATGCAACCGAATACTGTCAGTAGAAATCCAATGACAATCGGATTATATATTGAAAGTCTACGCGGTTGATGAGGTCATCCATAGTCTTTAACCAATGGCTACCTAGGCTAAACCGCCAGCAGCAAAGGTTATATCGCATGCCAGTAGTGCATAGGCATAGGCCTGTCAACGAGCCGAACTCGAGCGAACACAGGTGGGCTCGGCTTGAGCTTGGTAGAAGTTCGAGTCGAGCTCGAACGAGCCCAGGTTGACCTTCGAGCTACACGTTAGGCTTGAGTTTGGCTTGTTAAGACTTCGAGCCGAGCTCGAATCGAGCTTTTAACAAGCCGAACTCAAACGGTTTGTCAAGCCCGAACATATAGCTAAATATAGCAATGAAAAAAAATAAACTGCGATCAGGCATTCTTTTTGCTCTTTTTTTCTTCATGTGGTGGATCTGAGCTACCGTGTCGTTAGTGTAGCACTTGGCTACATGGACATGGACTAGTTTTGGACGTCGCAAAAGACAAGCTGCACGACCTAGATTTAGCCTATGTTCCTACAAAATGCGCATAGTTTAGCGATGCGTGCTCCATCGCATGTGTTTGACCCAGCTTTGCCGAATTGTTCGAGCTCGAGCTCGAATGGCTCGCGAGCTACATGTTAGGCTTGAGTTTGGCTTGTTAAGACTTCGAGCCGAGCTCGAATCGAGCTTTTAACAAGCCGAACTCAAACAGTTTGTCGAGTCCGAACTTTTTTGACAGCCCTACATAGGCATATGCGAGCCACGGGGACATGCACACGCCGGCGTAGCTGTGTTCATCAGTGTTCACGCACCCAAGAAGCAGCAGCAGCGCGTGCGGCTTGCACGCCGGACAGGGTAGCAGTAGCTCCCACAGCATGGTACGAAGCGTGAGGGAACGAGCTAGAGGCGGAAACGGGGTCAGTACGTCTTGCCTTGCCGATATATACAGCTGGTGTTTAACCCTGCAGCGTATCCCATTCCCACCGGAGTCTGGAAAAGGGACGTGCCATCGTCGTTCCCAATCCTTTCTTGAAACCCGAGGGATGTCCTTGAGGCATTTATTTATTTAGGACAGTATAACTGAGCCTAAAGTGAGCCTTCTCAGCATTTTGCATTTTTGGCCGTCCGTTTTGACGATCTGGACTTTTTTGGCCGTCAGATATGATATATACAGCCACCTCCAGCGCACTTTTTAATCGATGGCCCAGCTGTCTTAATGGGCTGCTGCTCCAGAGACCGAAACCATGCCCTGTGGTAAAGTGGGCCTGTTTTCTCAGCCCACAGGGGGTCCAAGACGATATATTGCTGGCTCGTGGCTCATAAAAAAAACTGCTCGCGGATCCAGCCGAGGCGTCGATCCGATATCCTGGCCATCGTCTCGTCGTCCCCAATCCTTTCTTGAAACCCGAGGGATGTTCCTTGAGGCATACGGTAGTAGTATCAGGACACACAAAACATCGCGTATTAGGGCAGGCTATTATATTAAATAAACACAAAGAAACGAAACAAGAAACAAATATGGGAGGGGAATCGAGGTGTACACGGCAGCGCAGGCGGATCGCTGGGACGTGCCGGGGCGCCGTAGACTCGCAACCGCCGACCAGCATCCTCGACTTGGCCGACGATCTACTCGATCACATCCTACTTGGAGTCGAGACGCCCGTGAGCCTCATCCGTGCTGCGGCCACGTGCAAGCCGTGGCGCTGCGTGATCGCCGGCGACGGCTTCCTCCGTCGCTTCGGCAGCTTCAATGGGCCGCATATACTCGGGCACTATTATTACTGGGAATGCTTAAGGCCGGCCTTCGTCCCCCTCGCTGTGCCGGCGGCGGGGAAGCCTGCCATCGACACGAGTGACCGCGCCTCCCTCGACTTCCTTCCCAATAAATATTCCTGCCCGGTACGTCCGGTGCTCCGGGATAGCCGTGGTGGCCTTCTTGCCTTTGGACGCTTGGGCTTTCACGTCATTGTATGCAGCCCCTGGACAAGGCAGCACAGGGAAATCTACACGGCGTCGTGCTCTTCGTTTATGCCAGGGGTAGGAAAAAGTACCGTACAGTTTCAATGTCTCGGCGTGTTTCTGCTCGACGCTGACCGCAGCGAGACAGAGGCCTGCTACACTATCGTAACGACGACATCAAAGCTGTGCAAGCATGTTACTTCTCAGCAAGAGATAACAGTTGGCTCTCCTTGAGCCCCAAGGTGATTGGTGACATCATTCCGGGACTCAATGTCTACCCGGAGCCTTTCAGGTTCGTGGGCCGCGCGGGGGGCTCGATCTGCTGGTCCACCGATGGTCAATGCAACAATGTGGTGCTCCACCTCGACGAGAGCACCGGCGAGTTCTCCTACTTGAGGCTGCCCAGCCAAGCCGACACCAACAAGAATCCATTGTATTACTGCAGGGGGAACCTCTGGGTCATT